GTTTTTTAAAAGGTGTGTTTTTTTTTTTTTTTTTTTTTTTTTTTTTTTTGGAACTGGTTGATCATGGGTCTCATTTATATCAGTTTTTGAGTGAATATTGTCAAAATTATCCACAAATAATACTTCGTTCGCTCAAAAACTGAGGTGCATGGGCTCAAATCAATGAGGCCTACGATCAACCAGTTCCAACAATAAATGCCAAATTTGTGCTAACTGAAAGAAAACAATTTGACAAAAAGATTGCATTAAAAAAAATCGGTAATAAAATCCCAAAAAGTACAAAAATCACCCAAAAAAAATTGGTTAATTGTAATACCATGTGTGAGCAAAGTCACTAGGTTTCCAATGTCATAGCATTAAATAACATTTTCATCTTTCAAAAAGACTGAATCCAAGATTTGGTGATAATATCGCATAATGGGATATTTACAAACAATTTTTAAAAGGCGGGCCTTTTTTGACCGGAAACACTCAATCAGGTAAAGATTTCCAGCACAGCAGACGTCTTAAAGAGATCTGGTTGATGGTGTTTCTTCTAGGTTGCTTCTTATGGAAGTGACTAAACCCTGGTGCATCTCTGGCCACTTTAACGCCCTGCAGCACACTAGAAGTCTGTAATGTGAGTGACTCAGCGTGGATAGAGACGCTCCCAAACCCTCAGAACATGCAGCAGCACGCAGATCTACATGTTCGAGTGTGTGTGTGTGTGTGTGTGTGTGTGTGTGTGTGTGAGAGAGACCTTCATGAGCGCTGCTGCGATCCTCAGGTAGGACCGAAAACCTCTCTCTCTGTCTTTTCTCTCTCTTTCTTTTCCAAGTGAAGCTGCTGGTTCTGGATGGTGTTGGTCTCTGTTTTGGTGACTTAGGTTAGGACTGGTGAAGGATTGAGGAGGTCGAGCTCTTGAAGAACATGTGGTTTTAGACAGAGGTGAGCGGCTTTGTCCTCGTCTTTCCGGTTCTCTGGGGCCCGAGCGTTTGCGTTTACTTCTAATGCTGTCAGACAGCCGCTCTCAGCCACAAAAGTGCTTCAGTTTCTCTTGTTCCGCTGCCAGGGTCAGACATGCAACTCGTCTGGGTCATATTTCACCCCAAAAGCTAACTGTATTAATGACTTTAAATGATTTAAAGGACATGAAAA